AAAAAAAAAGCAGCTGTTTTGTTGATATTCTAAATGCTTCTCAGTGAATATTTTTAATCAAAAAAAGTAGAAAATGTCAATTTAATTAAACTGAGACAAATTAATTGTTTGTGGATTGACACAATTTAAAAAAGTTTTAATTCTGTACTCCAGTTTTTTTTCAAAGACATCAACTTTTCCATATTTATATTTGTCTATCTAAACTACCTAGAAATTTAACAAAATTGACATAAGTCAAATTATAAAATTATTAAGATTTAACAGGATCAAATTAGAACCATCTCTACCCTGGTTCATCTGTCTTAGTACTTAAGTTATTTTTGTGGCTTCTTTGTTTGTGAACTGTATCAAAATCTCTTGTACAATTCTACAATGAGTTGTTAGTTATACCAAATAGGAACTCACTGCATGTTCTAGCTTTCTGAAGTCCCATCTTCCATGGCCATTTCAAAATGGGTATTCTCCTCACTTTTCACCCTTCACCTGATATGCACAAAAATCCAATAAGAAATATAGTAAGAAAATAAAATTTAAGATAGTGCCAGTTCAAAACGGAAGTAAACTTGTTAAATCTTAAAGAAACCCTTAACTTTAACACCAATATTGAGGCAATATAAAATTAATGGTTCAAAATCAGTATTCCTGCATTAAGATCTGACTTGGCTCAGATACCCACTTAGCATTCTGAAACTCAGCATATAATATTTAATGAAAATCATTATAATCAGAATCTCTCCTCTGTTCCCCCCAATCTCTCTCTCATACACATACTCACACAAAACTATAGGTTTGATTCAAGAATGCTCCCTGTATCTAGTCAACGTGTGTCAAGTGAGTACAAGATGAAAAACACTAATTTTAAGAGTTATAAAAAGCACAGCTTAACAAATAACAAAATTTACAAACTTGGGTTCCAACTAGAACTATTCCAATTCAACAACTATTTATTGAGTTCCTCCAGTATCTACATAAGCAGGGGTATCCTCGCACGAGGAAAAGCTTGAGAAGTCTAGATTAGAAGAAACTTTGTTATGTACACAGCACAGAAAATCTTAAAATAGTGACACTAAAAGTATGTGTGTGGTGTAGGGGAGGTGTAGAGACAGAAGTTGCAGAACAAAAAGATGTCAGAGCCAACTAGGAGCAAAATTGCACAGGGCTTTGTAGGCCATACCAATAAGTCTTCATCCCCCAAACAGAGAGGAATCACTGAAGGGCAGAAGCAGAGGTGTGGAGCTGCACTGCACAGAACAGACAGTGAAGTGGAATGACTGGAGACGGAGACCAGCTTAAAAAGGAGCTTTTCTAACCTGAGTTGCCGAGGGCATGAGTTAGAAGGTAATACAATGAAAACTAAGACTAAGGTTTCTAGGAGCTGAAGGGAGAGTTCAGTACTACAGCTGTGCTTAGCATGTATGAGGTCCTAAGTTCAATTCCAAGGACTGAAAGGAAAAAGGCACCTGAAGTCATCGTCATCTGTTTACATTCAAATCTCAGCTTTCCCACTTACTAGATGGAGAACTTTAAGAAAGCTGTTTATTCTCTCACCATCCATTTTCTTTCCTATAATTCAGATATAAAAATCTTCACAGGATTGTTTCCAAAAACCAAAATTGCACACACACACACACACACACACACACACGCGCGCAGAGCAGCTTCAGCAGCAGCAGCTTTCAGCAACAGCATGTTGTCTGGCAGAATAATACAAAAACGCACTATCAATACAATTTAAATGTCATGGGTAAATAAGAATATAAATATACAATGTTTAGGAGGGAGCAAAGGTACGGTAACTCACACCTATAACTCCAGAACTCAGGAAGCTGAGGTGGTAAATCACAAATTCTAGGCCAGGCTGGCCTACACTGCAAGACTCTATTAAAAAAAAGGGGGGGGGGTATTTAAGAGTCAAGGACTAACAGTTTGAAAACAGGGAGAAAGGATGAGTGAACAGATTCCAGTTTTTCCTTTGAAGGTTGGTGCTATTTGGTGAAATGACAAGAGGGATTGAAGATAGTGTTCCTTTTAAAATATATTGATTGTGACAGCCATGGCAGTATGTGGGTAAATATACAGCTCTGTAGAGGGAAACAAACCAAAGCAACACATTTGACACTCAGAGAAACAGACAGTAATTAAGCCACTGGGCACTGATGAGAACTCCTAGAGAATGTACAGTGTAGAACTGACAGAGAACACCAATATTCAGAGGATGCCAGAGGAAGTCTGCAAAGAACACTGAGAGGAAGAAGTCAGAGATGAGAATGGAAGTATGATGTGTCTAGAGCCCAAAGGAAGAAAGTATCTATCTCAAAGGAGTACTTGGCAATGTCCCCCTTCCAAACAGTGAAATGAGTTAAGAACTCAGTTTTCATTGGACTTAGCAAGTTATTCACATAAATGGGTCAAGCATCATTGGGCTCTCCAAAAGACATAAGAAAAACTTCATACTGTGAAGACAGTTGATGAAAAAACAAAATAGAATGACATAAAACCACACGGCATATGCCAGCTTCAGACAGGGAGTTTAAGGAGGACATCTCTCTACACAGAAAAAATTTAAGCCGAGTCCCAAGGCAGAAAGGGCAAAACAGAGCCAGAAAATTGAGAGGTGGCCCAGTGACTACAGAAGGAGGATGTGGGTGGGAAGGGCAGAGAGAAGCTAAACCCTGTCTGAAGGTCACACTGGGGGCACACTGAGAGGGAGTTTAGATGATGACCTGTTGACATCTGTGAATAGGGAAGTTAGTACCACTCTGGCTTAATAGCTTTCTTCCCCTCACAGTCTTAATCATCAGAAATGGGGTATTTTACTATTCTTCCAACCACTGACTTATAATATCAGAATAAACTTTTCTATCTTTAAATGGACTACACAGTCACCTATCTGTTACATTAATTTTACTAGTCTCCTTTTAATTGCATGTATACATATACACGAGTTTGGACACGAGTAGTGTCTATGGAAGCGGAAAGAGGGTGTCAGATCCCCTAGAGATGGAGTTACAGGAGGTTGTGAGCCACCTGACCTGGTGCCAAAAACTGAAAGATCCTCTGCAAAAGCAGTAGATGCTCTTAATCACTGAGCCATCTTTCTAGCCCCTCCATTCATATTTCTTTTTAAAGATGTTTTAGTATCTGTTTGGTTCCATCATTAATTCTTTTTCTCTGGGCTAGGGAGAGAGTTTTGCAATAAAGAACACTTGTTGCTCTACCAGAGAACCTGAGCTCAGCTCCCAGCATCCACCTCGGGTGCCTCACAACTACCTGTAAAATCAGATACAAGGGATCTGATACCCTCTTCTGGCTTCTGCAGACATTTACACACACATGGCATACACTCACACAGACATAAACATCCCCCCACACACACACAAATAACAATGAACATTTTTTTAATTCTTTTTCTCTGAGGTACTCATTTTCAAGTACATCACATGTTAACAAGACTACAAAGTGCTACTAACACACACAAAGCTAGTTAAATTCTTTTTTATTTTTATTTTTTTAACTTTATTTATTTTTATTTTATGTGTATGCATGTACTGCCTGCATGTAGGTAAGTGCACCCATGTCATGCAATGCCCTCAGAGGTCAGAAGAGACTGTCGGATCCCCTGGGACTGGAGTTACAGACAGTTATTAGCTGCCATGTGGGTGCTGAGATTCGTACCTGGGTCTTCTGCAAGAACAACCAGTGTTACTAACTGCTGAGCCATCTCTCCAGCCCCGAAATTCTTTTTCTAAAAAAGATTATACTCCATAGTTTCAGCTTCCCATTTCTTTAATCTATATACTTGGCTGCATGCATATGACTAAATTAATGCAGAAAACTTTGTTTCTGTTCTGAAAAGTTCACTTGCATGTTTTTGAGTTTTTTGGTTTTGTTTTTTAATTTCCTTATCTGCCAAAGAAAGAATCTATGGGCCTTCCACATTTCACAAAAATGTGAATAATAACAAATACTATCAGTTACCTAATATTTATTAATTATCAGGCATGCTAGGCATATTATATAAATTATTTTTATCATCCCAATGCCTCTTAAAAACAGGTATTGTTCTTTCCCATTTTACAAATAAGATAACAATTGCAATGAGGTTAGGTCAATTGCTCAGTAAAGTTAAAATTTAAGTCCAGTACCATATGCTTGAAAACTATAGGTACTATACCAAGATGCCTCAGACTATTAATACTTTATGTTCTTAAATACCTCTCATATGTGAGATATTTCATCATAAAAATAAATTTTTAGATGATTAAAAAATGTGTTCAATTTAAATCAATTTCTTAGAACCAAAAGATTAGTCAGACATACTATTCTTATGTTTGTTTCTCCCTATAGCACAGTAATGTGACTTCAAATTGTTTTAATAAAAGGAAGCTAGAGCAGATAATCATATTTAAGATCCAAGAATAGGACACTATGTAAATAAGTCTAGATATTTAACAAAAAGAAATTGCTGCCAGGTCATCTTTATTTTCCTTAACAAACACACACAAGAGCACAAAATTCACTTATATATCATCAGTATTTTACAAGTATAAATAATACTAAGAATTCAAGTACAGTCAAGTGCAGATATATTTCCTATATGTTAATATGTAAACATAAACTAATTATATACATCATGTGCCTTTGGCCCAGATGCAAAATAAAAGACAAAAAACAAAAAACAAAACAAAACAAAACAAAAAACGTGCACTTGACTGTTCAGTTGCATTCTTAATGAGAATTCGTACCAATGCCTATGTAGTTAAGGTTACAGCTTTCAATATCACTAATGTAAACACCTAAGCAGATATTTCCTTCCCACTAGCAAATATCTCAAGAGTTAAAATTCAATGATGAAGAATTCAAAATCTTAATTTGTTTCAGACCTTAAAACAAACACAATTAGAGAACTTATTCCTAGTCAAAATTGTTCCTATGTCAAAATAGATATTATTTACAGGTTATACATGTAGAAAACAAAAAAATGCTCTTTTTAAAAAAACTTTAGAATGCACAAAATATGTAACAGCTATCTAAATTGTGTGGATCCTTGTACATTCAAAAGGATTTTATTTCACTGATACCACTTTCTTTTAATTTCAGTATCCAGTAGATAGAATTTGACATACTAAACTTGCTAGGCAATCTGAATTTGAACGATATTAAGCATACACCTAAAAGGGCAAAAAAAATTTAAGTACCACCAAAAAAAAAGAGCAATAACTGACATCAACAAGACTACAAATATCCAGTGAAAGGCACATGGAAGCATTTACTAATTTATCATCAAAGACTCTCCACCTAATTCAAGATTAGGGACAGAGTCATCTCTGGGAACTGTTGATCTGGCTTCACTTGTGGTTTCCTCCTTTTCCGTCTCGTCTTGTTTCTCCTCTGACTCCTCTGAACCAGATGCTGTTTCAATCACTTGGCTTGTCTGCTCTGTCACTGGCATTTTGTCATCTGTCTGCTCTGTACTATTATCAAGAACATCTTGTTCTTTTAAAGATTCTGAAATGATAAAGATATAGAACTTCAGTAATATTCCAACACCAGAACTGCTAAATAAGACAAGAAAAGATAAATACACACATGCACATACACTAAGAAAAGCAGAATGGTCTAACATTACCCTTTAATTTGTTAAAATAAGCATACCACTTATGAGTTCTTTGAAGGAAATAAGCTGCCTGTACTTTTTAGTTCATACAAAATGAACTTCTAAAGATACACTTACAACTTCAATGATCAAAATTCGAGGTCTCAAGAAAATTAGATGCTATAAGGAAACAGTAGCGAGCAAATCAAACATTATCTCCTGTTATTACACAGGAATTGTTTCCCTTGTACCTAAGCAAAACCTAAAGCAATATGCAAATGTCTCTTTTTGTGTATGTGCCTGTGCATGCACATATATATGTGTGTGTGTTAAGGTAGTACTTTCCCAGCCTTAAGTACATCTCTATTATTCAAGGATGAGGGAGTCAGGATGCACCTTTTCCAATCATATGTCTTGTCTCCCTTATCCCCATGCAAGTCCTCACTATTTAAACCTTGAGATCAGAATATGTTATATACCTAGTATGCTAAAGGGTCTTTTTCCTTCTGTCTCCATATGGAAAGCTATTATTCTTAGTTTCTACCTGAAAATTTATTCCCTTTAAGTTCCAACTCTTGAGTGTTTAATTGACTTAAATCCCTAACAATAACTTAATAAAATTTTTATTAACTAAACTGCCTTTAGTTCTTTAAATTTTAAAGAATGTGATGGGGGAGGGAGTGATGGAGCAAAGAAGCTATGGGACACCTAATTTTCAAGTCAGAGTTAAAAATCTAGCTTTAAGGTATTTCTTTTAGTTTTCAGAATAAATAGCTGCTAATATTCCTGCTACACAAAATATACTTAATCATCAGCTAAGCAAAATAGCAAATAATTTCCTATACTCATAAAAGTTTCTTTATGATAGACTACAAATGTAACTGATACAGAAAGTCTGGAGGAAGGCCAGCCTACTTACGAAAAGGGTCTACTTAAATTTCTTGTATCATATAGACCAAAATTTTGCAAAGTAAATAAATAAAAGTTTTGCAAAGAAATTTTGTATTATATGCACACATTATCATTCAAGTACTATAAATATGTTTTACATAGTAGTTTTAATAAGCAGAAACATACTCTTTGCCAAGACTTTGAAAATATTTTCAAAGTATTATCTCAAAATAGCTAGACTCCAGTTTAAAGAATTACAACTATCTTCTTTTATAGAATGAAAGGCCCAAATTCTACAGCCAGGGATACAGCTTAATGATGTCTTACTGTATGAAAATTCATATAGCTGATGACAAAGGGTAGTGAGAAATGGTCATAGATCATACTTGAGATACATGATTTTAACAATCCTGGTTAATATGGAACTTAAAATGGTATTACTGGAACACTTGAAATCTTAACAAAAATCCAAGGTAGAAGAGCAGTTAAGTAATTCAAGTTTTGTTATTTGACAAGGGCAAAAAGGAAAAGCAAAAAGGGCAAGTGAAACTCTTAGATATACATATCATTTCTGCTACAAAAGCAAGTTCTTCTGAAGAAAACTTCAGGAGTTGCCAACCATTTGTAATTCAACCCTCAAGGAATTTACCCATAGTAGAATTTTAAGAGTCGCGGTTTTCTACAACTCTCTGGCCATATGCAATACTTGGCAAAACCTTTGCAATTTGTTTAGTAAGCCTTCTGAAACCAACCAATAAAGCCATATAAAATAAAAGCCAGAAAGCTCATAACCTAGTGTACAACTCAAATATTCCCATGTTTAAGTGAACTTAGGCACACAGAGCCAAATTCTAATAGACTGCCTCAAACACTGTACTGACAACAGCAAGAGGGGTCAAGGTTCAAAGTTTAGCATATTAAACTTTTGTAATATTATTACTTTCACAACCTTTTATTAGTCAAAGTCAATTTAAAATTCTAGGTTTTTTGGGAGGGTAGGGGTTAATACAAAGAAGTGGACTATCTATAATACATGAAATCGAAGAACTATCAGGAGTCTCCAAAATGGAAAAACACTACAGCTTCCAATCAAAATTATATTTCAGAAAATATATAGAAGATTAAAAACTTGGTGAAATAATAGTGCTTAAAAATAATTCAAAGGCCTATTTATAACTACTTTTCTTCTCTTGGGTTGATCTGCAGAAAAGTAATCTGTATAGTAGCAACACTATTTAAAAAAAAAAAAAGGTATGTGACCTGCAAACAATGCAGAAATCAGCATTTAATGCTTAAAGGTCAATTTCTTTTTTTTAATTAATTTATTTTTATTTTACAGGTATGAGTGTATTGCCTGCATATGTGTAAGGGCACCCATGTCATGCAGTACCCAAGGAGGACAGAAGAGAGTGTTGGATCCCCTGGAACTTGAGTTACAAACCGTTGTTAGCCACCATGTGGGTCCTGGGATTTGAATTCAGGTCTTCTGCAAGAACAACTAGGACCCTTAATCACTGAGCCATCTCTCCAGTCCCCCAGTCCCTCCCTCCCTCCCTCCCTCCCTTCCTTCCACCTATTCATTTATTATTGAGACAGTGCCTCATTATATAGCCTTGGCTGATCTGGTACTAGTTATGTAGACCAGGTATACTTGGTTGGCCTTGGACTCACAGAGATCAAACTGCCTCAGTTTCCCAAGTGCTGGGATTAAAGACATGTGCCACTACACACTGCATGCCACTTTCATTTAAGAAACCCTTCAAACAAGATCTACACAGGGAGTACAAAACAATTTTAAAACTAAACATCAGAACTTTATGATAAGATTATGTACTATCCCCAAAGTATTTATTTCAATGGCAACATCATTTGCATATTCTAATAAAAACAAAATTGTTTCTTATGAAGCTGTAATCTAAAATAGCTTGATGATATAAAATACATTTCAGAAGATGTTTACTTTTGGCCATAAAATACCAACAGAGAAACTAGTCCTTGTGTTCACAGCAGATAAACAGGCCTATTCTTCCTTGTATGGTCCAGTTTAAACACCACAGCTGAAGAGACAGTTCTGCAGCTAAGAGCACATACAGCTCTTCCAGAGGACACAAGTTTGGTTCCCAGCACTGACTTTGGGTAGTTCACAACCACACGTAACTCCAGCTTCAGGGTATCCAATACCCTCTTCTCACCTCCATGAGCACTCCACTCCACTCCTGCCTGTGCTCTCTCGCCTCTCTCCTCCCCGTCTTCTCCCCCTCCCTCTCCCTCTCCTCCCTCTCCTCTCCCCTCTCCCTTCTCTCTCTCTCTCTCTCTCTCTCTCTCTCTCTCTCTCTCATAAAAACTTTTTTAATTAAAAAAAATACTAAGAGTCAAGTCATCTGAAAGACGTGATTCTATATGTAAGAAAGAATAATAATTTAGGGACTGGAGAGATGGCTCAGCCATTAAGGTAAGGACCCGTGTTTGAATGCCAACACCCACATGGCAACTAATAACTGTCTGTACTTCCAGTTCCAGGAGATACAATGCCCTCTTCTGTCCTCTGTGGGCAGTGCATGACATGCTGCACTTGTATACATGCAGGCAATACAGTCATACACATAAAATAAAAATAATTCTTTTTTAAAAAAAGAAAAAAAAAACAATAATTTAAACAAGCTTTGGCATCTATAATGCCAAGAAAACACTATACCACAATGTGATAAAGCAAAATGATTCATCAATTTCTTTCCCCATTCCTACTCCCCTTAACTTCACTAAAAGCTCCTGGAAGAGCAGCTTTTTCTAATAGTAACAACTTAGCTAGACAACTCAGACTCAAAACTAAATGTAACTGCATAATATCACTGCACCACCTATAAACCACACACATGCAAAAAAAATATATAAGAATCTTACCTTGGCTTTAGCTCTTTATCCTAATTCCTAAGAAAATTAAACAATCTAACAAAACAGTTTCATTTGTTTTTGCCTTATGAACACATCAAAACTTGGGCTTCTTGACACATCAGTGCTCATTACATGTCTAGACTATAAATTTACCCCCCCCCCAATATATTTAGAAACAAAAGTATGAATTCATCCCAACTCATAACAATGACTAATGAATAAAACTTAATTCAATTACAACCAATTATGAAAAATGGCTAAAATTCAAAACATAGAATAGCATATACCATTGATGAACAAGTCAATTAAACAAATTAAGTTTCATTAGTAAGCAAGACCCTAAAACTAAACCATTAGGTGAGGGTGTTTTAGAAAAAGAAGTCCAAAGGCCAAAAGATATATATTTATCTAAAACAAGATGTAACAACATACCATGGGAAAAGTTTACATTTTCAAAAAGCTCAACTTACACAAAGGCATAAATTTTGGGGTCTGATAAATACAGTATCAACAAAAATTTCAGGATCATGGTACAATTTCTTAGAGCACCATAACAAAAATACTAAACAGAATTTTCTCATTCAGTATAACCTACTGTTAAAAGTATTTTGCATAAAAGAATGGCAGATATTAGATTACCAGATAAATTCTATCTAATATAAATTTTACTTAACTATTTTTGTCAGAAGCCATGAGTTTTATTACTATATTAGTGAATGAATACAAGCTATTTTCAACCAAAATAATTCCAAGAACCCTAGACAAATTTAATTGAGCAATAAAAACACAATATTCTTATTTTTCAAACATGATAGCAAAAAACCATTGAACTTATGCAACAATGTAAATACCTAGTTACTCTAATAATAGCTACATCTATGAAAAGAATGCTAGATATCAAGTATTTTGGAAAGCACTTATTATCATCATCATCATCATCATCATCATTATTATTATTATTATTAGTGTTTTGGGGAGTGCACATGTCAACTTTGTGGAGTCAGTTCTCTCCACTATTTTGTGGGTTCAAGGGATCAAACTCAGGCCATCAAGCTGACCTACTGAGTCAGCTTGCCAGTCCAAATTTTTAAAAAAGCAAAACTGATGAACAACTTTAATATTGGTTAGCAGGGACTTAAGTATTTATGTACTTTCATTTAGCCATAAAAGAAAATGAGCAATCTAAAAGCAGGTCATTTTTTAGTGTGCCAAATCTAGTATGTTTTCCAGATAGAAGGCAATTAATATCCCTAGTTTTGTTTTGGTGTTTTGGGGAGTTTTACTTTTGTTTTGTTTCTTTTTTGTTTTGTTTTGTTTTCTTTTGAGACAGGCTCTCCCTGTAGCCCAGCTGTGCTGAAACTTGTTATGTAGACCAGAATGGCCTCAATCTCACAGAGATCTGCCTGTCTCTGCCTCTTAAGTGCTATGATTGAAACATGTGCCACCATACCTGGCTAGTTTGGGATTTTTGTTATTATCTGTTACCAAATTATCTGGATGCATGGTTCTAAATTTTTTTTAAAAGTCAAAGACTAATGGAAGTGATTTTTTTCTAGGTCTCTTTGTTGAAAACTTGACAAGATTCCATATTCTGTTCTAAACAGTGATCCAGAGGTTTTAAAGGCTTCATCCTAAGTGCAAATTCTTCTAATATCAGAATCCAGACAAAACTTAATTGCAAAGTCTTGTGACAGATGAGGGGGGAGTTTCTTCTCTTAGTTCTAGATCATTTATATAGATGCTTGCTGTATTTGTTGAGAGAAAAGCTCAGATGGAAAGAAGTTATCTTTTCAGTGTATCTGTAAATTCAAAAACACAATGTACACAGTTCCTGCTATTGGGAAGCTATTTCAATATGCTTTAGAAACACAAAAATTAGAACATTTTTTACATTCCTCAATTTTCTCTAGCATTAATGAATTTAGAAATCAGAAATTTTAGCTCCAAGCTACACTGGCCATTAGCACAAAGTAGATGGATTTCAATTAACATTGTCTTATTTAATGGTTAATTTAATTGTAAGGTACATCACTGGTTTTTAAAACAAAAGTAGCATCCTCAGTTCATCAAAAATACTTGGCATTATTTGCTATAGAAATCCCACTTTGCTGAAATTGTAACACAGTGTGGTGATAGGAGTCTTGAAGAAAAGTTTCATCTTCTGGAGAACCAAAGAGGAAAAAGGTGTTCACAACCACTCTGACGAATCCAAAGAGAAGTATGAAAAAGTCACTACTCTTAAAACGACCTTAACAAAACAGAATTTCGTTGCTTCAGGTTTCGTTGCTAGTACCATCGAGTCATCAGGCCCTGCTTCAAACTTGGTCTTCACCTATTAACATTACTTTACTAGGGTTCAGTTTGAGCCAGTGAAGACTTCATTCCGGAGATTTCAGACAGAAAATGAGACATCTGAGGTATTGTTCCTCCTAGATGAGAAGGAAAAGTATAGCTGTGTGTTGTTTGCTAGCTATCCATCTTGACCTTAGCAGAAAAAATAAAGGATAGGACCCATTATCAAGATTTCTATTTTATTGGCTGTTTTCTTTTCCTTAAGGAAAAAAAAAATTATTGGCTTTCAAACATTCACTTTAGCTTTCATAAGCAAGGTTACTTATGGAATGGACTTCAACTTTCCCTCTATGCATCTTCAGTACGAAATATTTTATTCTCAGTTTCAAGAGGCTGCAGTGCCATGGCAGATAGCTTGCATGTGTCAGCATGCAGCTCAGAGCATGACTTAAGAGAAAAAGAAAAAAAAAGTTTGAGACTGTGTTTGGAGTTGATGTTGCAGAGCTGGAGACGTTGAATGCATTCTCAGTATTGGAAGTATACAGGCTCAGTCACAGCTATCTGATTTCACAATCATTTTGATAGTTGTTAGTAAGCCAAAAGCCAAGCCCAATTCAGCACACATATTTCAGGTTCATTCTTCAAAGTTTAAAAAACAAAAAAACCCTCAAATCTCATACTAATCTTCATCTAATGTATATGCTTTATATAATCCAGTCAAAGGAATTTTTATTGCTTTTATAAAAATAAACAGCATATAAATGATAATTCCTGTTAAATAAATTATATGAACTAAACTTCCAGTGATTTTATACAACAGGTATTGCACCAAAATATCATGCCCTGTGTCATAATTTTAGCAATCTTCACTGAACTAATTAACAACAACAACAAAAATCTTGGCTGAATACTACTAATAAGAAATAGTTGGCAGTTCCTCTACCTCATCTTTTCCATTTTTTTATAAAACTTCCTTAAGAATTCCTAAGACAGAAATGCAAGATGAATTCTAAAATACAAATTCTGATAAATCCTATTTTCATACAAGGTTGATTTTTATATCAAAAGCAATGCTAATCTCATGTACCTATTAATGAAGTTGTCCCAAAAGATGAAGATGACTTTCCAACTCCAAAGTCATTTATACCAATTTGAATGGTAGACACATACCTATTTTACCAAAGTCAATTACACATCTTCTAAGTACTTTGTCCTTATGAACAGCTGTTTCCTAATTTCAATATTTTATTGAGATAAATACAAGAAACTATTTCATGAAAGCATTACTAGTAGAATCTCAGAAATTTTTAGAAGAGCTCATTCCATAAACAATGTTTAACTGGTGCTCGATGCCACCAATCACAACATAATCCGCACTGTAAAATGGAAAAACATCATACCAATCACGTAAGGGGCCATCAGAGCAATAGCTGATATATGCAAGCTGAAAAATCTGATGTTAATCCACTGTCACCTTTAATAAACATTATACTTTTATTTTTAGGCCACATACATTACTGATACAAAACAATTTAGTTTACATTCTCCTACCTTCACTGAACTGGTTCTCTGATGAAGGTACACTTTCTGATGGCAAGGAGCCAGCTGAACTTGAGCCTTCCACTGCCTGTCTCTTCTCAAAATTAAACTCTGGAAGTCTTGGAGCCTGGGGTCTTGTTTTTCTTGCAGGATTCAAGAAAAAACAGTAGGCACATCGAAAAGCTGCACAGAATTTTTTTAAAATAAGAAAAAATTCATCAACTAACCAAAGTTCAAAGACTAATCAATAACACAAGATTTTTACAAATAGCCAAAGAATCTTTCAAAAATTAATTTTAAAGCAGAAAAGGTATAAAAAATTAGTTTAACAGCAAAATCATATTAATAATTAAATATTTTACTGAACTTGTATTTCTAGTCAATAGAATAGTTATTTTTAAAACTTGGAATCTTGGCCATTTGTATCAAGAAGATGCAGTATGTTCTATTTCTGAAGCTAATTTGTCACATGAGTATTTAATAGTGGCTACATGTGAAAATCCCTGGTGAACTTAAAAGAAAATGCTGATGCTTAGATCCTGCTCCACACTAATTAAATCAGACTCCCTATAGGTGGGTCTGGGTACCATAACTTTTTTAAAGCTCTTCAGGTGATTATGGTATGCAGTAAGTTTAAGAACAACATTTTAAGAAGGAACTTGAGTTACTGTTTCGCTTTGTTCTTAGTATTAAATAAGGGCACAATGTACCTGGCCAACGTGTGCAGACAAGTACCTAAAATAAAACGATATTTCACAGAAGTGAAATAGAATGAAATATTTGAGTAAGAGATTCAAACTTAATTATCCAATAATTCTTACCAATATATTCAAACTCTTCCTTCAAAGCCATGCCATTATGAGAAAAACACTGCTGACATATAAGGGCATACCTACACCACAAAGAAAAAAATTAACAATTACAAATACAGATAAAGCTCACTGGAGAGTCTATTTAGCCATCATGATTAACTTATATTTTAACATAGCTGAATATACTATAATAGATACATGTTAGTTAGCAAATTATATTAAAACATTCCTTAAACAAAAGCCAAAGTTAACCAAAACCATAATTTCAACCAGTTTAAAATATAATTTAGGAACTAAAAGTGTAGTTCAATGATAGGGTGCTTGGTTAGCAGGTGTTCAGTCCCCAAGCATCTAAAAAATAACACTTTAAGTTTCTCAATGATTATTCCTGGAGATGATAGATCCCAAGTCTATGATTTGGTAAGTCTGGAAAAGATGGAGTCCTCTTAGAGATACACAATGAATATTATAGAAACCTTTGAGAAATATTTCAGAAAATAAATGTACTTAATTCTATGTAATTAGGGCCAACAGTTAATTTTTATATGACATGATTCCTATCCCTTTCTATCAGTTACACTTAAACATCTTCCTCATTTTCTGTTCTCTAACCAAAACCCAACAGACACTCGGCTTAATCAACATTCTGTTTTGAATAACATGCAACTTACTAAATTATCATTAAACTATGGCCCATTTATGAAAATGATACTAGTAAAGCTGGCCAATACCTTCTCTACTATCCATGGAGGTATTTTTGTTTGGGTTTTTTTTTGTATTTTGAGACACGGTCTCCCTACAACCCTAGATGGCCTGGAACTCGCTATACAGACCAGGTTGGATTTGATCTCACAGAGATCTGCCTGCCTCTGCTGGGCTCAAAAGTATGTGCCACCACGGCCAGCATTCACTGAGTTTTTTGAAAGTCAACACAATGTCAATTATTCTTCACATTCATAACTATCTTCCTAGAATTATGGAAAGGACCAAATAATGTAATAATTGGAGAAACATTTTGAGTTTAATAAGTACTAAATAATGTAAATTGTTCTCATCACTATTAAAAGTATTTACATCCCAAAGGCCAATAGAGATACTTATTAAAAATCTATTTCTCATAACTTAACAGGATTGTTGCTATTTTTGTGTTCTTCAAGTTTAAAATTTTCAATTATATAATTCAATTTCTCTAAATTAATCTTATAGCAGAACTAATCTTATGGATTTTATCTAGACTACTCTGTTCAAACTTATACTAAAAGCAGTTGAAAGTACAATATTACCATTGTGTTCTAAAAATCATGACTAGGAGACACAAAACATCACATATCTATATATCTGTATCTATAGATATATATCTTAGCCAGTATTTTTTTTTGCTTTTCCTTTATCAATGACCTAGCAAACATTACCTGTTCTGTGGACCATCACCAACTAAATATTCCACAATTCGATCCAGAGCACCTCGTTCTCGTGGGAGAATGGGTCTTGCTAAGGGTGGACCGGGAGGATGAAGGCCTAGATAAATAAAAAACACATAAAATTTATATAGTGTATGTGTGTGTGTGTGTGTGTGTGTGTGTGTGATAGACAAGATTTATTTCAATTACTAAAGCTAAGTGTGTTACAACTTTTAAAAGATTTTAACAAAGCAGCAAAATACTAATTCTTATAAATTTCTGTACAACATTTAAATATTCATTTAAAATTCTACATTAGGCCAGGTGTGTTGGCGCGAGCCTTTGGTCACAGCACTCAGGAGGCAAAGGCAGGAAGATGTCTGACAGAGCAAGGACAATCTGGTCTATATAGCAAGTTTCAGGTCAGCTGGGGCTACAGAAGACCCAGTCTCAAAAAAATAAAGAATACTAAACATTTAAGAATATCATAATAGAGCTTCAAAACACAGAAAACAAAAACTAACAAAAATCTAAGAAGATAGACAAATATACAATTTTAGTTAACGGTTTTGGTATTCTATCAATAATTGATAAAATAAGTGGGCTGGTTAGTTTTTGTCAGTTTTACACAAACAAAAGTCACCTGGGAAGAAGGAACCTCAATTGAGGAATTATCTCCATCAGACTGGCCTGTAGGCATGTCTGTGAGTCATTTTCTTAATTAATAATTCATGTAGGAGGACCCAGCTCTCTGTGAGGTTACCATCCCTGGGAAGATGGGCCCAAGCTGTATGAAAAAAGTAGCTAAACAAGTCAGGGGGAAGTAAACCAGTGGGCAGCATTCCTCCACAGTCTCTGCTTCAATTTCTGCTCCAGATTCCTGCCTTGAGCTCCTGCCTAGATGATGGACTATAAAATGTAAGATGAAATAAACTTTTTCATCCCCAAATTGCTTTTTGGTCACAGTATTCATCACAGCAATAGAAAGCAAACTAGAACGATAAGTCTACATAAAATCACAAACAGAGAAAACTTGAACACTCTTTACTACTAGCTTTACCTAATGGACATTTATACCTGTTCTACCCAACAGGAAGAGAATGTATGTTCTTTTCAAGCAGACAGAAAACATTTACCAAGGCACAACATACCGGGCCATAAAACTAGTCTCATACATTTAATCAGATCCAAACAGCACAAAACACATTTTCCCACACAAAAGAATTAGAAATTGGCAACAGAAAAGTTCTTCAAACTCACCAAACACTTAAGACTAGATAACATATATCTAACTAACTCAGAATTTAAAAAAAAAAAAAAAATCAAAAAGGAATTAGAAAGTATTTTAGATGGGAAAAAAAAATCCCCCAAATAAAAATGTATGGTATGTAGCTAGCAGAGTACGTAGACAAGCATTCTACCACTAAGCTATATTCCCAGTTCCCAAATTAGATTTTGAAAGCATTTACACCACTTAACTTTGTAGATTATTTTACTTCTACATATTTAAAGTGAACAAGTCCACAAAGCAACTAGATACATAAAAATTTCATAAAAGTATCTTAAACCTCATGCATAATTTTAGTAACTTTTAAAATAAAATAATGCATCTTCATATTCACGCTGTTACAGACAACAATAATTAATACAAACATCAAAAGCAATCACTGTGGGTATACTAGTCATTTTTACACAGCTTGGCAAATTATCAAATACCTGCTGGTTATTAATTTTCAAACATATGGGAGCACTGTGGTAATACAAATTAATACAAATCACTTAACTCATTCACACTTTTGGCAATGTACAATATAAACAGCATTTCCATAGAAACTAATTAGAAACGATGGCAAAATATACTTTATTTCCATGTACATGAAATTTAGGCCATGTTCCTTGTACAGCCCTATCCTTACATGTGCATTATAGCTCTTATTACTATGTAAGCTGTTATATAAGTCATATGTGAGTCAAGGACTATCACTAAAAACTTCTTAAACAACTAGAATTTTAATTTACAAATTACGGGTATCTCAAATTAACTAGATAACACCTGAAAGCTGAGTTAATTTAACATTTCTCAATTTCACAAACTATATGGCTATTTTATCATTAAATACGAAATCTTAAAGTACTGTTTAAAATTACTTCAAGTGTTATCAGATTTGTATGCATTTCATTCCTAGTCATTTCTTTTAACTTGTAAATCTTTTTCTAGTCTTCTAAAATCTTAGTTGTATCTTTTGAAAGAACATTAACAAAAACCTACTATAAATAACAATAGGGCTTGGGAGGTTATTTGGTTGGTTGGTTTTGGGTTTTTTGAGACAGGGTCTCCCTGTAGCTCCAGTTAGCCTACAACTCACTATGTAGACCAGGCTGGCTTCAACATCTAAAGAGATCTACCTTCCTCTGCCTTCCAAGTGCTGGGATTGAAGGCATGTGCCGGGATTGAAGGCATGTGCCACCATGCCTGCCTCCACATTGGGTTTTTTAATTACATAAATGCTCTAATTATCTCATATCAACTACTGCTTAGTTTCAAAATCATTATAAACTATTTATATATTAGTAATTAGCCATGGAAACTAAAGTAACCTAAATTAGAATTAAATATTAAAGTTAATTTACTATCATTTAACAATCTGACATGGAAATCTTAAAAACAGTATGACCTGCCAAAGCAATGGACTTACATGGCCTAATTACACTCCAGAAAATACCACAGGGCAGTATGTTTTATGTTCCACCCAAGAACAAAATCTACAGATCTATCACACTATTACCAGAACTTAAAAGACACCTATCAAAACACCTAAGACTTAAGGACAAAAAACAACCTACTAACACATATTAACAAAAATATTATTCAACACCAATCCCAGGGCAAAAATATTTTTCCAAAATCGGTGTCTATGTGAAGGATTAGCAAGGAATATGAACACTTTCCAAGTGTTTTCTTCTACCCCTATTATATATAAATCTGGAGCCATTCTAAGAATTGAATAAAAAAAGATAATACTATATTGTTGACTATAGAATACTACAAAGTTTTATTGCCATTTAAACAAAGAAGCCATAACAGTTAAATGAGCTCAAGAAATAGGTTTCAGTATCACAAGGTGCCAGTTGTAAAGAGTTATGGCTAATTGAATATGGAACTCCTGCTTAATCAGATAACTGCTCTGCTATTTCCAAATGAAATGCCATTTCCATATTGTCTGAAAATGATCCATTTTATTGGTAACCAGAGAAAACAATATAAACTGTAAATAACATTAAGTGTTCTGTTTACCCATTCCAGGCACTGAAGTAGCAGGGGATCCAAGACGTCTGGGTAAGGCTGGAGTAGCAGTTCTCTCTGGAGGTCCACCAGGGGCTGAAGCATCCTTTGATGGCCCAGGAGATACTGGAACTTGTGGAGGAGGCCCTTGATTAGAGCTTGCTGGTGTTGGAGAAAGGTTTCTCTGAGCTACAGTCCGCTGACGAATCTCTGAGAAGATTAAATATATTCTCGATTTAATGCCCAATATGCCATATTACCCACAACCATTAATGACATTTACTAAAATTTTATAGCTCAAAAAGGTACAGTGTGGTCTAACCACTTATCATGTGAACTCTATAAAAATACAATACTGAAAAGAGAGAACTCTGTTTCTGAACCCAAAATTCAACTGTATTTGCTTATATAGCAAACCTTGCTCTGTCTACCTACTGACATTTTTCAAATACAGTCAATTGAATAAAATCATCATCCAATTATATGTCACATCTTTTTATAATAAACTTCCCACACTATAATATGGGAAAGAAAACACCAGAATTAGTGAAAACTTAAAGAGATCTGTTTTTCATGATTAAAAAATAATAATTTTAAGAAATAACAATATATACATGTATATTCTGGAATTATGAAATAAAGTAGTGATAAAAATGCTGAAAAAGTATACTTTACTATTTAGGTACCAGTTCCATTTCTTCATACTATAGTTACCTTTTTGGCAAATTTCTTTGGGCCAATACACTCAAGGAAGGAAAAGTTTCCACTTAAAATAATGTTTCATCATACATAAATCTTAGCTTTTAGTTACAGAAATTACAAGATTCTCTGTAACAGGGGCTGGCCAAATGTGCCAAAGCCAAGCTGATGGATTTGCAATTTTATTGGAACACAGTCTCATTCTCTTGCTTCCATACTGTCTATTGCTTCTTTCAACCAGTTGAGAAGTTGCAAAAGAGAAAATATGACTCTCAAAGCCTTTTATTAACTGGCCCTATAAGAAAATACTTCCATTATGGCTATCAGATAACATAAATGAAATTCTAACATTCCCTGCTCACACCTTAGTGTTAAGACTTCAAATAAAGAAGACTTTATATTTTTTAATTCTATGTATCACAAATCCGGGCCTGGAGAGATGGTTCAGCGGTTAAGAGCACTGGCTGCTCTTGCAGAGGACCCGGGTTCAATTCCCAGCACCCACACAGAGGCTATGAACCGTCCTTAACTCCAGTTATAGAGGACTCTGACGCCCTCTTCTGACCTCTGTGGCATTGCACAACACAGGTGCGCTCACATACATGCAGGCAATACACTCATACTCATAAAATAAAAAATAATTTTAAAAAAATTTCACAAATCCTAAAGTAGTGGGCTGAAACTAAAGAAATAGTATTTTGATTGGCCTGAACAGAACACTTTAGATTTAGCCTTTTCTTGAGAGCTGGGGGAAAAAGAAATGTTTCTTGAAACAGGGTCTCATGTCCCAGGCTAGTCTCAAACTCCTTATGTTACTGAGAATGACCTTAACATCTGATCCTCCTGCCTCCACCTCCTGAGTAGTGGGATTAGAGGCGGGTGGTATCATGCTCAGGGCTTCGTGTATGCTAGGCAGGCATTCTACAAACTAAGCTACATTCCCTGCCTTAAAGTCAATTCTTGACAGGAAGGTTTAATATTTTCTTTAATGAGCAACAAAATTTCAACAAAGTTCACAGTCACCAAGTATGAGTATAAATCTATCTATACTGGTTTTAAATTCACAATGAAGCCAACAGACCCAAACTATCATGTTACAGAAAATAAAATTTAAAAATAATTATAAAGCATCATAGTTATGATAAACTCTATATTCAAATTTCCTTAACACTAGCTCCATTGTTGACTTTACATGCGTGCAACCTTTTCAAAGCTGATAACATCTCTCAGTTTAGCTGTCAGAATGAAAATACTTAACTGTCATGGTTGTTGTAAAGATTAAATGGGAAAAATCAACAAAGTTTAGCCAGAGTAGAGGCAAAATACTTAATTAGTAGTTATGAGTATTAGCATTACTAAAAGGATTCTGGAGATTACAATAATCAGAAACTAAGCAATTTCTAAGCTAGATATAGTAGCATACATTTTGATTCCAATAGTTAAGAAGCAGAGACAAGTGTATTAATCCAAAGTCAGCCTGAGGTACATAGAGAAACCCTAACTCAAAAAAATCAAACACTGAGGCTGTAGCTACGTGGTGAAGCAACTGCCTAGAATGGTGCAAGGCTCTGGGTTTGGTCTCTAGCACTATCTAAAAAAAAGAAATCTAAGCACTCTTAACCTAGTTTCTACAGTGATTTGTTTTAATGAGTCCCCCAAATTATTTCTAAATTTCTTTAAATGTACAAATCTGTAATTTATATAAAACTTAACACCTATAAACTATAGCTTTCTGTTAAATAATTCTTGACATAAATACTTAATGATGAAATAACCATATCTCAATTTTACTTTTTCAAAGTAGACCTAGGCATTTACAACAGGAATTTGAACATCAATTCCTAGGTCATGGAAGCCATGGATTAGTCATGGAAATAATCTCTTTCACAATACTGGAAGGACTGTGCAAGACCATAAGTTACTTGCAGACTCTCATGTGGAAAGGGTATCATGTCTTAGAACCTATACTACAAGGTATTTTTCTTGTAATGAGTCTTAACACCTTGGTAAGTATCTAGAAGATATGACTCCTTCTCCCACGCCCCACTTTCCAAATCTAAACCATTGAATCCTATCAATCTACCCTTGAGTTCTTTCTCAAGTCTCCTTTTTAAAACTACATTGCCATAACTTTATTTATCTATGATAGATGATATCCTAATTAACTTCCATGTCTCAGCTTTGTTCTCCAGTCTATCCATTCTCCATGTTACTAAGGAAAGTATTCTTGATCTGCAATTCACAAGCTTGCCACAGTGTATGAAAAGAAAGTACTACTCCATAAAGTTGCATTAAAAAATGTTCTAGTAATTTTATCACTCCTTCACAAGAAACCTTCACTTTGTCAGGCAGTATCTGCAGCTCTTCACAGTACCAAGTTTTATATTTTGTACATGGAATTTCCCCTTTATCTGAAGACCATTTTCCCAAACCTGTTTTTATAGAAAATTGTGTGATTCATGCCTACCTTCTGTTGTGATCCTTAGCATATTATTTAGATGAGTTATCTCTTTTTCAATGAGTCTATGAGCAGGAACTGCAACCTTACATTCTCAAGATGTAGTAACTGGTAGAGAATATGAGCTTAATAAAGGTCTGGGAAAAGAATTTTGTCCTACATTTCAATTTAAAATTTCTAGCTGCCCATTATCCAACTTACATGGTATGATAAACAGAGTAATGGCCTCCCCCTAACAGCTACAATCACATTCCCCCAAAATGTAAATATACCATATTACACGCAAGGGGAATTAAACATGGCAGATGGAATTAAGTACATTAATCAGCTGAATTTTCATTGTTTATTACAATAAGTTTCTCAGACTAACTTTAGGAAACAATATGAGAAATTTGCTGAATTTGCTAATAATATAAACCACCTGCCAGCTTTTCACTGGGCTTAACTTTTTTCTTGTTGTCCTGCATTTTCCCTTAACATTTATGTTTTTCTCACCTTGGTGATTTATTTCTGTTCTATTTGTGTTCTAGCTCTCAACTTTGAACAACTTAAACCTTGCAATTAACCAAGGTCCTATTTGGTAAATTACTATTTTGCAAAATTTAAACAAAATTTTGGAATTCTTAAACAACAAGCTTCCTTTTACGTCTATTAAACACATTATAAGTAACCACTATGATCAAAACACTATAAGTACCACAGAAAGAGATTCACAGCTGCATAGAGGTGGCAAGCAAAAACAAGACAAACTCACTTAATACTACTATATGTGAGAGTCCATAAACACAGAGTCAACAAAGTATACTACAGAGTCAAATACAGGGGGATTAAACTCAGTGATGGAGTATAGGAAAGACTCATGGTAATGGTGGCATTGGAAGATGAAAACTGAAAAACAGACAGGGATAGAAATGTCTCTGTTATCTACATTAAGGTGTTTGTAGCAATTTTAGAATAAGATCCTAAAATTTGCCTCCCAAAAAATGGGGTGGAGAGTATCTATGTGCCTTTCCCTTGACTCTGTATTCTGTGTGTGACTGCTTGACTAAAAGAATACAATTATGCACATTTCCAGGACTACTTGCTTACTGTCTCTTAGACTGCTTGGCATGAAAGCCCAGACACCACATGAAGGGTCTAAGTGACCCCAAGAAGAGGTCCATATGGAAAAGAACCAACAGCCAGCACAAATTGCCAGTCATGTGAGCAGATAATTTGGACAGCAGATCCTCTAGTCCCAATAAAATACCACAATTGAGGTTGGAGACCAGCATGAATCACTTCCACCAAACCCTTACCAAACTGCAAATTTCTAAGTAAAATAAACAAATGTTGTTTAAAACACTAAATTTTGGGATAGTTTGTTACATTATAAATAATGGTACAGAAGTGACAATTACAAACAACCAAAATGTCAATTTTTTTTGTTTATAAGGTATTTTCCAGGCTTTTGAAAAATATATTCCCAAAACATAAAGTATCTTTACACTTAGTATAAGGAATAAAAGTAGTGTATAATCTCATTTGAATTTTAATATATGCCATGGAACACAAGTAACCTCTAAAAACTTATTCAAGAAGTTGTAATCCACTCACTAAAATCGTATTTTTTTTCTTCAATACTAAACTACTTAACTTTAAATCTAGCAAGGTAGGCTACAATTGAGGTTTTTGTTGTAGTTGTTAGCTGTGTTAAAAAGGGTGCAGGTTTATATACAGGCAAGAGAATGAATAGGAAGGTTCCTTTTGAAAAAAATTAGATGATGTGTTAAGGATTCATTTTGACTGATGAAATAGTATCTTCCAATAATTTGATCATTCTCCTTAATTCATTCATTCCTGTGGTCACTATCTAGTTCTAAACCCTGGCATTACCATCCCACACTCAAGTTTACTTCTTCCAGCCACAAGGTGACCTATATTTCATTAATTATTAAGGGTCAGCAAGCTTCATTTGAAAGGGCCAAACAGTAGTGTGCTGGTTAGTTTTTGTCAACTTGACACAAACTAGAGTCACCTGGGAAGAAGGAACCCCAACTAAGAATTTCCCAGA